AATTCCGCACGCCGGCGAGGCAGTAAGACGGGAAGCTAGCTCGCGAAATTCGAGTACGAGCCTTCGGGCATCGATCGAGGATAACGACTTGCGCACTCGGACGCGCGAAAAGTATAATGATTAGTCTCCGGTAATATTTTACTGAATGTGTGATGATTAATAAAACACACTTTTTTTCCTCCGGAGAAGATTCGAAGAGGATACAACGTTCCTTTTAACGTCTACATTGAACCTTTCTCGAAAGGGGAGTTGAAGATATTCATAAAAATGATGTATCATAATTATAGAAAAGTAACTTAACCCTCCGTCAGCAACATGAATTTTAAACTCTTTCCTTGGAAATAGAAGTCTTAGAAAAACAGAGCAAATTTTTTATTGTTCTGGATTATATAAAAATCTGAAAAAATTCTGGTACAATTATCAAAGCTTTAACAATGAATTTTTACCATTTAATTTTGATATAGACGAGTAGAATTGTATTTTATTTATTTTTTTACAGATATAAATTTATTCACTAAAATATCGATGATGCCTTTAAAGAAAATCTTAGCTGCTGGTGAAGGATTAAGAAAAACAGCATGTTCTAAAATTATTTAGACAACCGTTTAACTTTCAAGAGAGAAGAAACAAATTGTTTTGCGTTATAACGTCCCTTTTGCATTTTATACGAGGAGGCCGTGGATAAATCATTATAATCAAAATGCACGCGGATCTCTCGCAATCGATGAAGTCATCAATTCGCGAAAGTATTCAAAGTGTTATATTCCGGCGCGTCAGTCTAACGAGGAGGCTCGTCCGCCGTAGCTTGCGTGCTACGAGAAAATTCAACCGTAGCTTCAGAGTCCGCCCGTCAGAGTCATCCTATACTATGGGAGAAAGAAAAAAGGACGAGCCACGTATGGCTCATACGCGGGAATCGCGCAAGGTCGAAATATCCCGCGCACATCCTGCCTTTTTCCACGCGGTTCGCGGTAGAACCGCAGGAATCCCATGAAGAAATCAGAAACAACGACGGATGGAGACGGAGCGTGATACGAGAACAAGGGAAAGAGAAGGAGGGAGAGAGAGAGAGAGAGAGAGAGAGAGAGAGAGAGAGAGAGAGAGGAGAGGGAGAGAGAGAGAGTTAGGAAAAAGACCCGCTCATCAGAAGCAATAATACGAGGGAACCTGAGTAATAGCAAGGGTACAACACTATACGTTCCTAGCAGCTTGTAATCGGAATGGAAATGCGGATCCTGCACAGACGGGATACTCTCCCTTAAGACGTGGACCGGAATTTCTAAGGAAGAACAGCCAGCTCGCCTTGGCTCGTCATAACGTCGCGCCGATAATTAATATTATTTCACGACAACGTCCACTCCTTTCGAACCTCCCTCTTTTAGCTATGCCTTGTAATATTGGCCATACACGCCGCGATATATTTAAGTTATGACGAGACGCGTCCTGCAAATCAAATAAAGTATAGAAGGGTACAAGATGAGGTACAGCAAATCTGTGATAGCAGAATTCATGATGTTAAACCGAAGATTAAAATATCATGATCGCTTTTGCGTGGGTATTATACATATTAAATTCATGCTAATAATAACTTTGAAGTTTAAAATGCGCATGTGGCATGTTTGCGAATTTACGACGATTGCTCAAAAACATGCATGTGTAATTATTACGTGTATAACTTATGCAATTAAATTAAATTAAATATATTGTACAAATACTATATAAAAGTGAGTAAAACAATATTTGAAAATAAAATACATATATAGCTATTTTATAAATTTTATTTTATAACTTTTTTGCGATATTCATAAATCATTATTGTCATTTTATAATAATAATCTTGGATGGAAACAAAGTTTCATTCAAATTCATATCGTGATAAGCTGGAAGTGCGTTTCATTCACGGAATATTTTTTATTTCGCTTTTATTTTATAATCTAAAGAAATAAAAGTGAGTGTAAAAACTTGAATCTCAATATAGAGACTAGTTAATTGCCGTATGATTGATTTGATTTTATTATATTTACATTCAGCAATGCCGTGACACCGGTATTTCTTCATAACGATGAGTTTAATGCCTTTATATTTTTAATCCGTACAACGCGTTAAGATGCTGATATCAATGCCGAATAATATTTTCATTAACGTAATGGTATGCAAATACGGATGAATGCTTGCTCGTTTGCATTAGAATTCGATAAAATTAATATATTAATATTAATATGCAATTCTTTAGAACGTTTTTTTTTTAAACGAAAGAATGTAATTGCTGTGCCGTTGAACTATCGGTCTGTTTTTTATTCCTGCACTCTTTGAACTGGTGCATATACAGTGCAATAAGTTAAAAGTGAAACAAACGTACTTATATATATTTCATTACAGCTTATTGCACTATATACATCAGTTCAGAGAGTGCAGGAATAAAAAAACAGACCTTATGACACCTGCATATGAGAGAGAATTTATCACTCTTCAATAAATTATCTTTTCATGGCTCACATAATCGAATAATCTTTACTTGTCATATTAATTATACATATATATCTATATATAATATCTATAGATTTCTGAATAAATGTTGCTGTCGTAAGACGTACTTGACGTAAGATTAGGCTTTTGAAATTAATTTAAATTTGTAATGCATACATTCTTCGAGTCTACTTTAAGTTTATATTCGTTTTAAAATGTGGCGACTTTATAAATACTATACTTAATATTTTTATTTCTTACAATATTGAATTTCTGTTTTACTTTAAAATATGTGTGTGTGTATATATAAAGTATATTAAAATAAAAATGTAAACCGGTGGGTAAACGAGAAGGCGAGGTTTGAAATCAATGAAATCGTGCAGCGGCAAAAAGCTTCGCGCAAATTGAAGACGACGACTTCTCAAGTGGATTATGATTCGTTTATGTTTTTCTATCTCATCAACGGTAACACGGGCGCAAAGCGATGAGAGATTACGAGGGACATAACGAGATATATATCCACGAAATGTTTATATACGAAATATTTATATAAAATATAATTTATATGTATATATATAAAATATATCTTAAAACACACGCATATACAGGTTATTGAACACTGTTTTTTCTACTTCGCTTATCAGAATTAATAAAGTCGCGTTAAATGTCTCGTGTAATAAGAAAGAAAGAGAGCGTGTAGCCATTTAAGTCTTAAATATCTCTGTTCCTCCTCGAATACGCCAACGTCGCGCACACCACTGCACTCGTTTGTAATCAAAGTAGAAATTTAAAAATGTAAATCGGCGGATAAACGAGAAGGCGAGGTTTGAAATCAATGAAATCATACAGCGGCAAAAAGCTTCGCGCAAATTGAGACGACGATTTCCCAAGTGGATTATAATTCGTTTATGGTTTTTTTACCTTATCACCGGTAATACGGGTGCAAAGCGACGAGGAATTACGGGGGACGTAACGAGATATGATGACGCTTTAGCTTTGTGCAAGTTTATAATCAGAATGCAAATACAGAGCCTGAGGATCTATCGACTTCCGTCTGACAGTTAAACCGTTAAAGGCGCACCTAATTGGCGTGATCTCTCAATTATGCCAGGCCCTTTGAACGCGACCGACTCCCGTCCCCGACGTTCTACGGTACCGTGAGCTTTCTACGTTTATACTCCAATAGTAGCATAATTTTCAATAGCATAATTTAAAAAATATGCTTAATCCTCCGTTGGCAATGTAAAAGGAGGATGATAAAAAGGAGCAAATTTCTGCTTAAAAAGATGTAGAAGTAAAAGAAAGGAACAGTATTTTTTGTAGATTTTGACTTCCTGGATACCCGTACAACATGGTGTACTTTCCAAATTTATCGTATCCAGAAGGTAAAAATCTATTAAAAACATTTCGTTTACTTACTCCTTTCTGAGCCAAAAAAAATGGGCCTTTTTTTGTGACTGCAGTACAAACTCTTTAACATCCTCCTTTTCATTCTTCAACTGCAATCTGAATTCTCGAACTTCAGTGCAGATTTTTATATTGTTTCGAACTGCGTATAAAAAATTCTTACATACCTACTTGTAAGAGTTTCAATAAGTTTTTTTTACTATCATAAAAATTGGATTGTATTTTATTATTTTTTGCAGATTTAAATTTACCAGAATTCACAATAAAAAAATCGACTGTGCCTTTAAAGCTTCCAACATGGAAGCTGGCGGAGAATTAATTTTTCAATTACTGATCCTCTTTTTACAATTGCTTCATATTATCGCCCCAGTCAGAGATTCAATTTGCTAAAAGAAAAATATACATACTGGAAGTACTAGCAGATAAATAATGTATAAGTTTGTGAAATAATCTAGATTTGCTCTCTCATTCTAAATCTTCCTTCTTTATCATTTTCTTTGTCCATGCCTCCTTCGTCATACGAGATTGCGTGACTATTAAGGGAGCGTAGCACCCTATATATACCATCGTGATTAGCATCCCGCTTTTTGTAATTTCTACACGATATACCTCCTGCGTATACATCAATTTACCCAAGTCTCCCCATTTGTCCCAATTATTATCGAAATCCGTAATCGCGTCGCACGCATACGTTACGGCAGAAAAATCACCGGAAGCCGCGCATTACGGAACGCGTACGCTTTCTTTTCCCCAGCGGCTCCGTCACGAGCGACTCGATCAATCAATCGTTCCAGAACGTGCGCAACGGCGTTCATTTCCGCGGAAACACGCCTCTCGAAAGTGCAGGCTTTACCCGAAGGGCACAATTTAAGCGTTTTCGTCTCGTTTTGCCGCGTAATTTAGAATCTAATTAAGAATCACCTTGGTCGGCGGAGTTACGTGCGCGCTCGCGCACACGCACACGCACGATTTTTATGCATGCCCGCGTATACGCGTGCGGAGCCGAACGCGAGAGACGCATAAATCTCACGTGAAACGAGCATTAACTGCGAAACTGCTCTCCGTGAGTTTGTAATTATAATATGCGCGAACGCGAGGTACTCACGCTCGATACACGTTCTACTCACTTGTTGACTTTGGGCACCGGTGGCTCGGTTCTGCAACAGAAAGGAAAAAAACATACACGTGTGACGATAATATTGGATGCGACATGCGATTATCGATTAAGCTTAATTATCTTGGCAATTCACACCACGCGTTTTGCCCAACGTGTTATCATGCGAGGCTAAAAACGCGAAGCTAAAAATGTGTAACAAACAAAGTACGGCGGAAATTACGTAATTAATGTATCCGATACGCATTAATACATGGGGCAAACGCAATTTCAGGCATAATGATTCTATCAGAAGCTGCGTTTCCTTCCGTATGACGGATCATTTTATCCTCGTTCGCCGAATTAAACAAGAATAAAACGTGTCATTTACATGTCATGTACAATAATTTTTTATTCAGCACTTTTATTAGCGATTTTGCATCAGTATTCGCATAGTTTGGTAATAATAACTTGATAATAATAGTAAATTAAGCAAATCTGGATTTTTTTTACTAGAGTTTATTCACATTTTTATCTGTGCATAAATAATCATAAATAACTCAGAATCCAGCGACTGTTCCAAAGATTAATCTCAAACGTAAATCATTGGAAAAAAGAAGAAAATCAAATCTGGCATGTGGCTCACGCAATCCATCCACGACTGCATTTCGCATTCGTCGCGTGTGAACATCGCACTTTTTCTCGGAGAAAAACGTCGATTGACATGCGATTGACATGGGGACATGGGAAAAGCGTCGCGTCGCGTCGCGTCGCGTCGCGCAAACAGCTGTACGCGCTGCATCGCGAAAACGGAGGCTGTGCAGAAAAACAAAGAACGAAGCAACCCCTTCAGTCGTCCTTGTTGCTTAGACGACTCGCTTTGAATCTCTGCATAGCTAATTTGAATAATTTCCTAGTTTACAGGATGAGCACGGCCGGATCTGGCGTCGTATCTAGCACGTAAACGCACTGCCGTCTCATCAGTTTGGCCGGGGCATCGGCGGCTCGTGCAACACGTACACGAGTCTTTTACACAACCATTTTGTCACGTTAACGTGAATTAAAATTCTCCGCACGACGGATAACACGGTGAAGAAAACATTGTTTTCGTCACACTTGATCCCTCTCTATCTCTCTCGCTCTCTCGCTCTCTCTCTCCTCTCCTTCTCTCACTTTCGCGAGACTTGAAGATTTATGAGCGTAATGACATCGTACATCAGTCGGAAGCAAGGCCTCTGAGCGAAACTTGATTAACCCATTACGTTGCGTTATATGGAGCAGCTACTTTATAATCGCACAAGATGAAGAGAGTCGATAAGTCGAATATCATGAGAATATCATAACGTTCGGTCTCGCCGTTACGTTAAACTCCTGGAAACGTATTGCCTGTGGCATATTACTGTAATATCCTCCATAGTCCGTAATATTGATGTACAAAATGATTCTAAAGTAGACGTGTTATTTGACTTAATGTCGTTTTTTTCCTTAACAAATATAAATTTCTATAATGAATATTGTCAAGATGTAGCTTCAAAGCAACTGGAAATGAAAAATTGTGTTAAATGTTGTAAATAAAATAAATAAAAAAATCTCTGTTCAATTTTTCAGATAAATCTTAACTTGCAGAATTTTAAGACTAATAAATGAACTTCGCAAAGTGTAAAATTCTAATGAATTAAGAGAAATAAATTATTTTAAAAATTCATGTTTTCAAAAGAAATGTTTTAAAATATTATTGACATAAATAATTAGAGGTAATTATATTATAAAATTGTTATAAAACATTTGTTATATCTCGGATGTTTTTGAGATATAATGGAAATAGGTAAAAAAAAAACTGCTTTAGATAATAATTTCACTCTTTAAAACGACTAATCGGCAGCAACTAGTATTTTCGACATTTCACTAATTTATGTAACCTGTATACAAAGTTTAATTAAAATAGAAATTTGACTTTGCGAGATTTCCTTGTAAAAACTGTTATCGTGCAAAATTTTAATTTTAAATTTCAATTGCTGTTTCTAGAAGAAGTTTAATTTAAAAAATCTAGCGATTGATTTCAAATATCATAAAAAATTACACAGAAGCGTAATATTAATTATTTTTCAAAAACATCCAATTTAATCCATAAATAAACAACAAAAAATATAATTTAATCACAGATATTTTCGAATTGTGATTTATTAAAATGGTTTCCCTTATAAATTTCTTTAGAAACGTAGTTTGAGATCTCTCCGGAGGATGCACCAGTCTACGACAATGAATCTCTACAAGCGAAATAATTCTGGCGATCGTGCGCAGCTGCGAAATAATTCATTCGGCGTTTCCGCAACGGGCGGATCGTATGTGTTGCGGTGTGCATCGCGGCTGATATCTCGTCTCTCGTAGGTACTGTGTGCGAACCCTGACCGTACGTGGCAGATAACGTATGGGCTTTCGTGGATTTTCCTGTTTCTGCCGGCGGAGATAAGGAAGGAAACAGGAAACGACGGCGCTGAGGACGTTGCACGTGAGGTACATGCCCGATGAAAGCGAGCCGTTTTATCGCGGCGCGAAGGGAAATGAGTCGTTAAAACAACGATCATTTTTCAGGTCTCGTCCTACATTGCCATTCGACCGTTCGATGCTGCGTCTAGTCGGATGTGACAATCGCCGAAGACAAGATTATACCCGTATTATTGCATTACCAACGTATTTGAAATTTATCAAACGTTTACCACGCGATTAGATATACCTTTGCGGTTTTAAACGCCAAGTTCTCACATACTTCAAAATGTATACGTCTTTTATCCTTTTCAACAAAATTCTACATATATCTCACACTGAGGAAAAAATGTGTCCAAGTATTGCGAAGCAAATGTTACGAAATTTAATTGTCATGACGAAATATATCTCATTAATTGCGGAAAAAAAATAGATGACTCATTTGCTAGAAGTAAAATCATATTTATATCGTCCGTATGTACAATAAATAAATATTTATTTCAGTGAAATAAATATATTTCTCGTAAAGAATTTTTCCGCCATTCTTCTTCTCATCGCAGCGCCCGAGTGAGAATGATAAAATATCCTTGCCATCTGTTTCCGTCTAGAGTATTATACCCAGCGGGGCGAAGTCGCCGCAGGAACAGCGTTTCGCGGATGCGTATTCCGGTGCGTGTACGCACCGAAGGAACGAGCGCACGGTGCGTATAGCCACATCCGTACGCGGGCGTGCATCGGGCACGCGGGAATAGCCGCAGGTGAAAGAGAGAGAGAGAGAGAGAGAGAGAACGAGAGAGAGAGAACGAGAGAAAACCGACCGGCGACGCGCTCGGTAAGCTACGACGAAGGTTATCTCACCGCGCGGATCTAAACGTTTTATCGTGTACGTAACTATGCCCTCTCGCATCGGAGTACATTGTCATTTTATGGACAGATAGGCCCGTCTCGCTGCGCGCGTTCAACGCGAGCAACGACGAGCAGACGCGTACAATTTACGCGTCTAATTGCGCTGCTATCAATGCTTTCGCTCGCCAAGTGAGACATTAAGTCGCGATTCGCTAACGAGGAGCCGCGCGCTCGTTTCCTCCCCGAGGAGGAAAAACGAGCGTTTTTTTCCCCGTTTATTTGCGAGGGATTCCCCGACAAATCGTCCGAGAAATACAAGAGAGAGATAGTAATTTCGAAGTGGACCACAATTTTAAAAGATAATATATACTTCTCTCAATACTCTGTATCTTACTATCTCAGTTCCCTCTTTCATTTTCCAACCTCAATTCATATATTCATGTTTATATTCATAAGTATTTTCTTTTTATTATCTTAATGACAATCTTTTTCATCGAAAACTGTACGTTTAGAAATCACGATTAAAATATAAAAGATTAGTTATTAATATAGCTGTAATAAGTTCAGTGAACTTAGGAAATGATTTATAACGTTCTCTGTAAAGTTCGTTCGAGACTTTTAAATTAGTTATCGGTTACATAAAGCTTCAATTTACGCTTTAATTATCGATATGATTCAAGCTTCGAGACAAGCATCATTCGGATCAGAACATGTTTACGGCAGCCAATATAAATAGTCCACGCAACGCTTATATTGTAGTCCCGAGGCTAAAGCACGTATATACCGGAAAGTTTGCGTTTTGGACTCGCGAAAAGTTCCATTAAGAGTGACCATGTCGGAATTTCGCACGTCAAGGACTTCGAACGTTCAGTAACTGTTGATTTCGGGGAGGCCCGATCGCCGCCGTTAGCACAATATTGTACACATGACGCAACCAGCAGCGGAGAACAGAGACGCGGGACGGTGTGGTCGTAAAGAGTAGCCAAAGGTACATGCGTATATTGTAGGATTTAATTACATCGTTGCGGGGAAGAGTGATCGCTGGAACTAGCAGTGTCACGCCTTTTAATCCGCGGACACCTCGGTTATTACTTCCCGCGGCTTTTTAAACTTGTCACCGCCAGCCAGCCGCCAGCGGGCGTAAATAATGCGGCTTTCTCCGTTCCGCCGCATTTACCGGCTACCTCTTCAACCCGAACGCCCATTACTGCATTATTTATTAACAGTATACGCGATCTTAACTCACGCACGCCGCTCGAGATCGCCCCGTGACGCTCCTCCCTGTCACGCTCGACACCCGGCTTCATATTGCGAAATTCTCCTTTGGAAGCAAAAACGCAACAAAAGCAGATTTTATCTTACATTGTAAATTTTTCTTTTTCTTTTTTTTTTACTGAAACTTTACGATGATGAAATATCTAAAGTATCGAAAGTTTTTATAACCCCTTTAAACCTGATTTTATTGGAACCGTGACAAAAATTATTTCAATTTAATTTTCATACGCATTTAAATTAATTCGTACTGAACGAATTAATTTTTTTTCAAAAGTTTGACTATTTTTTCAACATATATTATACATTTATCATGTACATCAGGTCTCGTCAGGTGACATCGATAGAATTAAATAATTTCAACGGATGTCTTCAAATTTGATGTATATTATAATGTAACGCGGAATCTGATGGGATTGATGTCATTATTATATTGATACTAATACTACATATATTGATACT